CGCCATGTTTTAGAGAGCTTGAACTCCTTTTTGTTGTTGTTGGAATTTTTTTCTTCTTTTTCTGCTTCTGCTTCTTCTTATTTTTATTTGTTCTTTGTAAGTTCGGTTTTTGCTATGTGTGGGGAAAAGTTCATTTTAATTAAGTATAAATTACAGTTGTGCGTTGTGCGGGTGTCAAAATGGTACTCAAGCGATTTACAACAAAAAACCAAACCAAACGAAAAAGAAAAACAACAACATCTAAAGAGAAAATGTTCTAAGACACATTGTGTTGAATTGCTAGCTTGGCTGGCTGGTTGGTTGATGTGCGTATGAGTGTGTGTGTTTGTCTGTTCTATTTTACAAAAGTTCTTTAGCTGCTGCTAGATGCCACGAGGTGCGGCGAGAACGTTCGGTAGGTAGGTGTTATTATTAGTATTGTTTGCAAGCTTCTTAAAAATAACCGCTTTTGCCATATTTGGTGTGGAACCCTTCTTGGCACAGCAGAAGCAGCAGTAGCACATAAATTTATGACTAAGCATACCTATTTAGAGCATTCTTTTGCATTCTCTTAATATGCTTACAGTGTATGCAATTTGGGTAAGGGCTAATAAAAATCAGGAAATATTTGTAAGGTGGTAATTTTGCTGCGAAAATATTTTGCTTATAGAATATTGTATTTAAAAAAGGATAATTAATGGGGTATAAGCTATTTGAAAGTGGTATCCGACACGGAGTCTTAAAATTTTCATTTGGGATTACTGCTCGATACATTGCGAATATTAGGGATTTGGTAATATTTCGGAGAGTTGGTAATATTTTTACTACAGAAAAAATCATTTCCCTACGGTTCATAATTTTCTTCTATGGGACAAAAACAGCTCAGAGAGAGGTATATTTTTTATCCACAGAAGGCTGAGGAATAGTTCTTACAGTACTGGGATTATTTTTCCTTTAGAAAAACTAGTCCTCAGATTTTTTTTCTAATAAAATAGTCGATAAAGTCTTAGAGATTTCTTCATGTAGAAACATTGATCCTCAGAAGGTTGGAGAAAGCATTACAAATATTTTGTATATTAAATAATTGTTATCCGCAGGCTGTAGATTTTGTCTATAGTCACAAAGACGTGCATATTTGTTTTAATAAAAAAAAAAAAAAATCGTTCCCATACAGATCATACATTTTTTATGACACAAAAATATTTCTGTGTGTGGGAATAATTTTTGGCCCCTGAATATTACTAAAGACATATAAGACCTCAAATTTTTCTATAACGAGTATTCTTGTCTTACACTTCTGACATTTTTTTCTATAGAAAAAAAATAGTTCACAGGGTCTAAATTATTATTTTATTTTTTTGTAAAAATTTTGCTCCTAAGGACTGGAAATGGTTATATTGTGAAATTTTTCTATTTTAATATAGTATCAGAATGTTAAGAAATGTTCACCATAAAAAACTTAACATATTATTATTATAAAAAACAATCCTCTATAGTGTGATAAATATTTTTCTATATAAAAATAGTTCTTCGAAGGTTTTTTTCTGTTAAACAAATGGTTATAAGAGAAAGACCTATAGAATACATAATATTCAGAAGGCTTTGTTTTTTTCTGAAAAAAATTTGATATATTTGCCAGGACTTTTTATCTGTATTTATATAAAGAAATAGTCCTCAGATTGTTGAGGAGTTTTTCCTTTGGGAGGTACCATAAGTGATGGACCTATATTGTCGATATTTACACTAAATATATGGTGTATAACATGATCAGATCACAAAATGGTTTACGATTTGATTTATATTATGTGACAGTTTTCGAGGAGGTACCAGAAGTGATGGATCTATTTAACCGATATTTTCGCCAATTTTTCGATACAAAAAATTCTTATTGGGCCGATGAAAGATTTTCGGATTTCAGGATTTTTTTTCAGAGGTCTCAGATTTTCGCCATTGAAATCCTCTTTTATAATACTCAATGTTCTGAAGTAGTTTTTTTATAGAAAAACAAGTAAAATGTGTTAGTCGGCGTTGCCGACAGATGGTTTTGCCGAGGTTTTCGGAGTTATAAACAGGTTATATTATTCGTTTTATATAAGAAATATGTTTTAATTAAAGATGTTTCGGATTTCATATTGATCAAACCGTTTCAAATAATACTTCGTTAGCGAATGTGTATAATATTTAAACATGTATTTACATATTATTCTATTTTCACAAAAAAATGCATATGTCAGAAAAGCTAAACAATCCACACAATAATATTGACCATAAATTGAATTTGAATACCATTTAGTATCAATTTTCATTATTCGAGATCTAAAGGTTCACCCAAATCTAAATTTTACCAAATTTAGTTCCATTTAGCACATATTACTTCCATAAGTACCTTCTTCAACCATCCACCAAACTTCTTGCATACACCGATCCTGCACAATAATTCCAAATTTATTTCAAAATTTCAGGATTTCAACTCTATTGGTTCACCCACAATTTAAATTGTACCAAATTTAGTACACAGTAGTACGAATATCTAAAACCTTATCCTTACCACAAACCTACACCCCCACAGTGATGTAAATGCAAATTTCAGGATTACAATTCTTTCGGTTCACCAATAATTCAAATTGTACCAAATTTAGTACATAATAATACCAGTTTCCAAAACCTCCTAATTATCCCAAACCAAAACTCCCACAGTGATCCTAATTCCATGTTTCAGGATTCCAACTCTATCGGCTCACCCACATTTAAAATTGTACCAAATTTAGTACACAGTAGTACGAACTTCCAAAACTTCCTACATACCCCAATCATACACCCTCACAGTGATCCTAAATCCAAGTTTCAGGATTCAAACTCTATCGGTTCGCCCACAATTCAAATTGTACCAAATTTAGTACACAGTAATACCAATTTCCAAAAATTCCTACATTCCCCAATCGTACACCTCCACAGTGATCCTAAATCAAAATTTCATGTTTTCAACTCTATCGATTCACCCACAATTTAAATTGTACCAAATTTAGTACACAGTAGTACGAATATCTAAAACCTTATCCTTACCACAAACCTTCACCCCCACAGTGATGTAAATGCAAATTTCAGGATTACAATTCTTTCGGTTCACCAATAATTCAAATTGTACCAAATTTAGTACATAATAATACCAGTTTCCAAAACCTCCTAATTATCCCAAACCAAAACTCCCACAGTGATCCTAATTCCATGTTTCAGGATTCCAACTCTATCGGCTCACCCACATTTAAAATTGTACCAAATTTAGTACACAGTAGTACGAACTTCCAAAACTTCCTACATACCCCAATCATACACCCTCACAGTGATCCTAAATCCAAGTTTCAGGATTCAAACTCTATCGGTTCGCCCACAATTCAAATTGTACCAAATTTAGTACACAGTAATACCAATTTCCAAAAATTCCTACATTCCCCAATCGTACACCTCCACAGTGATCCTAAATCAAAATTTCATGTTTTCAACTCTATCGATTCACCCACAATTTAAATTGTAGCAAATTTAGTACATATAAGTACAAATTTCTCAAAAATATAGTACCATATAGTACTTTTCGTACACATTTCCAAACTCTCCTCATATCGACCCTACTTCTCAACCTTAATTTGCATTCCAAATTTCAAGTTTTTAGCTCAATCCATTCACATGTTACGAAATTGTAACAAATTTAGTACATTTCAGTACTTTTCGAAACTTATAGTTCGAATTTACAAAAAGTCCTTTGCTATATCTATTCTACTCCCCATCAGTGACCCTCAGAATTCTAGCTCTACTTTACTCTTTTATTAGTATAGATTAAATTTGTACCAAATATAGTACCATGTAGTACTTTTCGTAACATGAGTACACGCTTTCAAAACCATCTCCTTAAATAGACTTTATATCTCAACCCTAATTCGCATTCCAAATTTCAAGTTTTCAGCTCTATCCATTCACATGCTACGGAATTGTACCAACTTAAGTACATTTTAGTACTTTTTGGATGGTTATAGTTCGAATTTCTAAAAACCCTTTGGTACATCTATCCTAAACTCCATTAGCGACCACCAATCCAAATTTCAGAGTTCTACCGGTTCGCCAAATACAAATTGTATCACATTCAGTACTTTTCGCACCGTTCTAGAACGAATTTCCAAAAACCCAGCCTTATCTGTCACCTTTGGACCAAGAGTGACGCTATCCCAAAATTTCAAGATTCTAGCTTCAGCCGTTTCGTCTGGGCGTTGACGAATCGTTATATCGGTCAGTCAATCTCTTTTCTCTTTTATTAGTATAGGTATTTTGATTAATACTTTTTCCAGCCTCAGTTATAGGAGTAAGCTTTTTAGGATAGTTTTTTAAGCCATAACTATTTTTTAAATATTTTTACATAATTTTTGTTATTGCTCAAGTCCTAATTAAAAAAACATTGATTGAAGCTCTTGTTATAAACGTAGATTTTTTTATAAATATTATTTAATGCTAGTTATAAGAATACATTTAAAAAAATAGGCGTAGATTTTTTAAATATTGTTCAGGTCCTTAAGTTTTTTTTACTAAGCTACTAAGTTCATTTTTCTCTAGAGAAAGCAGGCCTCAGCTCTCATGGAGGCGTTTTTTTCTAAAAAAAATTATCCTTAGGAAAAAGACCTGGGATAGCTTTATGTTAGTGACTATAAAAACATGTCTCCCTATTCTAATTATCCCCACTATAGAACCGGTGCCATCTGTATTTATCTCCAAATATATGTATATGTATAAATGTGTGTGTGTGATCACTTCTATTATGCCAACTTTTACACACACTCACATACACATACATATACACACTTAAGTTCTTTTGCTGCTACTTCTTGTTGTTGTTGTTGCTGATGCCATTCGTTTTCTAAATAGCAGTAATTGAATTTTGTTGTTTTTCCTACTTTATTGTCATTAAGATGCTGATTGTATTTTATTGTTGTTGTTTCATTCTCATTTCTTTCTTTTTTTTTCTTCATTTTTTACAGTTAAAAGTACAAGAGGCAATGCGTAAAAAGGAGAAATTTCAACGGGAACATGAAGAGGTAAGTGGCAGTAGCATTAGTCGGAATAGTAGTCTACAATTATAAGCTATGTGCGTGTGTGTAAGAGATGAAAACAAATGTATGCAGCCAAGCAAAACAACCATAACCAAAAAACACACAACGACACACAGACAGACAGAACATTCTGACTGACTGCTCCGGATGCATATATGCCCTGACATAATGAAGAGCCTTATAATGCATAATTTAGTTATCGCATATTCCCATTGCACTGCTAGCTTGGAGTTTTGCTTTTTTCGTCTCCTCTGAAAACTGAATATGAATTTATGAGCATCATGTGAAAAAAAAAACACATTCAAGTGCGAGTGTTTGTGTGCGTAATAGAGAAGTTGCACGATTTTTTTCGTAGCTTCCGGAGATGTGTGTCACAAAAATATTGTGGGTGGTTGGTGGTTGGTGAGAATGGTTCAATGATTGCCTGGCTGTCTGTCTCAAGACAGACTCCAAAATGACTCTTTAGCTTGTTGCAGGAATATTCATTCGTTCATAGCAAATAGACGACAAACATAATTTCTATATATCGTCGTTATCGTTGTCGTCGAATCGAATAGACAACGTTGCGTATACGCATCGTTGCACATTACCACAATTACGTATGGCATTGCACGAGTGAGTGAGCGAAAGAACGAACGAATGACGAACACACACACACATATTTCAAACTCAACTAACTTTCCCACTGCAAAAGGATAAAGTTTACAATGGCAATTACTCATAGATAAATATTTTAGATAGATAGATGCGCGATGTTAGAATGAAATCAGGAAATAGTAATTTCAAGTCTCGTTTATTTATTCAATTTGTTTGAATAACATTTTGAAAAGAAATTTATTTTTTTTGCGCATTTTCTTTTTCAATTTTTGTATTAGTGTTGCCTATAATTAATTGAAATAATAATTTTTCAACGAAATGATTTAATTTAGTATTGGAGGAGGGAGAGGGGAAAGAGAGGAATTATTTGAAGAGACAATGAATCAACATTTTGTAATATTTATTTTTCATCATAATGGCAACAGCTGTAGCAACAAATAGATATAATAAATTTTATGTTTTTGGAATAAATTAACTGCGTTCTTGATGAAGATAATTTATAGAAATGTGTGTGTGTGTGGGTGAGGACATATAAAATAGGATTTTTAATTTCAAGCAAACATAAATGAAACCAGTGAGCGGAGCAGTGTAGTCGGACGGAGCCGACCATACGATACCCTACACAACTACCACGGAACTCTAACTTTTTGCGGATGTTTATTCCGAGCCTGGGCAATATTTCGTCAACAGCACATCTTCCTTACATGTTCCGAATATTACAAATATTCAGTACAGCCCTTCTCATTACTTGTCCAGATTTCCTTCACGGTGGGTTGATTTCTGATGTTCGGATTATATTCGACTAGAAAACACACAAAAAAATTATGTTTTCGGTCCACTTCATCCCAAAATTTTATTCTGATCATCACCGAAAATTATAGACGTTGTCCTTGACCATAATTGGAACTTCATGGAAATTTTCAAAGCGATCAGCGCTATATTTCCGCCCTCTAATGTGGTAATGAGTTACTAAATAATATCTGAATACGTAAGCACCTATAAATATTTAAGTGTAACTCTCACATCCGAATATATACATCAATATATTTGGTATCAATTTTAAGGTCAACAACACCTCTTGGATACGCTTTCAATTCAAATAAAAATTCGCGATGTTTGGGCCATAATTGCGGCCTCTAGAGTCACCAGAAAAACGGACAAAAATTAAGCATTTGGTCCATTTCATCCCCCAAATATTTATCGATATTTACCAAAAACAATAGGAGTCTTCATTTGCCAGAACCCATCCTACATGCAAAATTTCGAGAAGATCTGTCCATAACTGTGGCCTGTATAGTGTTTACAAATTATAATGGACACACATGTCTTGATCGACTTAGCTAGTCGAGATATGATGATCGGTATACTTAAAGGTGGGTCTACGACCAATATTTCGCGGCGTTACAAACTCTTGGGGCTGCACAAAGCTATAATACCCTGACAACATAGTTGTGTAGGATATAAAAAGGAAATACATATTTATAACTGAAATTCAGAAAGGCTGAAAAATAAATGTTTAAGCTTAAAAAAGATTTCCAAGCACGTCGGTCTTGTGCGCTTCTCCTCCAATTTGAAAGACCACGTTCCAAGATGTTGTTTTCAACTTGGTCTTTCCATCTAGTTCGTGGCCTTCAACTTCTATGGGAACCATCAGTAGGCTCGCTGTTATATGCCTTTTGAGCTGGGGCATTCCCTTTCATTCGCAGAACATGGCCTAGTCAACGTAATTGCTGCAGCTCAATACGTCTGACTATGTCGATGTCGTATAAATTGTAAAGCTCGTGGAGAATTTTTCTTTCAAACACCTTAAGAGCTGCCTCATCTGCTTGTGCAAGTACCCATGCTTCAGATCCATATAACTGCACGGATAGTATCAGCGTCTTGTAAAGTGTGAGTTTGGTCTGGTGGGAGGTGGCCTTGTTTTTAAACGGCTTACTTAGACCAAAGTAGCATCTGTTGGCCATCACAATCCTACTCCGAATTTCAAAACTGATGTCATTCGTTTTATTTATGGCGGTACCAAGGTATAAAAAATCTTTAACTACCTCGAAGCTGTAGTTCTCAAGTTTCACCGTTGACGTTCGAGTCTACTGGACGTCTTGCGCGTTGATACCATCAGCTCGGCCTTCTCGCCGTTTACTGCCAGACCTACTTTGACAGACTCCTTCTCAATTTGTTCAAAGATGGCTGTTACCGCTCGCAATGTTCGACCCATTATATCGATGTCATGGGCGTAGGCGAGTAACATGTGTTGTTTGGTGTACAGAGTACCATTTCTGTTCACCTTTGCGTCTCGTATCACCTTTTCCAGCAGGATGTTAAAAAGATCACACAACAAGCTGTCACCTTGTCCGAATCCTCGTTCGATATTGAAGGGCTCCGATAGGTCCTTTCCGATTTTAACTGCATAGCCGTATTCATTTTGCAGGAATGCCGAACGCATACATGACTTTAAAAATCTCCGAATGCGGCTTTAGTGTCGACGAATAGGTGATATGTGTCGATGTGTTTTTCGTGCGTCTTTTCCAGAATTTGGCGCAGAGTGAAAATCTGGTCAATGGCGGATTTGCCAGGTCTGAAGGCGTATTGGTATGGTCCAATAATTTCATTGACCATTGGATTCAATCGTTCACACAGCACACTGGGTAACACTTTATATGCGATGGGAGGAAGGCTAGTTCCTCTGTAGTTGGCACATATCGTCTTGTTTCCTTTTTTGTGCACTGGACGCAGGATGCTGAGGTTCCAATCATTGGGCATGCATTCCTCTAGCCAAATTGTACTAATCAGCTGGTGCATGCTCCTGACCAGCATTTAACCACCAGTCTTGAATAGTTCGGCTGGTAACCTGCTGCTTTATTCTTCTTGAACCGATTAATTGCTTTTATGACCTCATCTTGGCTAGGTGGTATACACTCTATACCATCATCCCTTATTGGTTATGGGGCCTCTCTCTTTATCGCCACTATTTGATACCAGAATTTTTTCAATATGCTCCTTCCAGATCCTCAACACGCTATCTACAGGTGGATGTACCTGCACCAAAGCCTTCGGTTTAGTGTTTTACTCGTTGGTAAAATTTCCGGACTTCATTCTGACTCCTGTACATCTCAATTTCCTCACGCTCACATTTTTCTTGTTCTTTCCTAATTTTTCTGAAAACGCGTTTCTCCTCTCTCCTTTTCTCCCGATAGTTCTCCATCACATTACGTGTTGCTATTGTCTGCAAGGGTGCCCTATACGCTGCGTTTTTCACATCAGTAGCATTACGACACTACCGATCGTACCATGGGTTTCTTGGTGATGGTTTTTGGTACCCAAGTGTTGATTTAGCTGCAGTTTGTAGGGAGTGGGTAATTCTTTGCCATTGTGCTTCTATACTATTATCGGGACAAGCAGTGGTTTCGTCAAGCAGGTGGGAAAGTTGGATGGAAAAGGCTTCTGCTACCTGTTGTGTTAGCAGCTTTTCGATGTCGAGTTTCCGTGTTACATTAGATCGCACCTTTGCTGCTACATTAAGACCGGTGCGAACCTTGGCTGCCACAGGGTAATGGTCCGAATCTATATTCGCTCCTCGGATTGATCGAACGTCTAATACACTGGATGAATGTCTTCCGTCTTACACAACATGATCAATTTGGTGCTGCTCATGCCGTTGTCGGATGTTTCTTCATGAAGGCTGAATTTTCCGACGGTGGAGATAATTTTCCTTCCGATTTTTGCATAAAAAACTCCTAGCAGAATTTTGATGTCATGGCCAGGGCAGCTGTTTCTTTGTTCTGCTCATCTTTAGGGGGGTTTGGTTTTCTTTTTCTTTGCTTTTTCATAGTATGAGGGGTTTTTCGAGTGTGGGCAACTAACCCGACGCCTCAACCCATTTTTTAAAGTTCTTATGGGTGAACTCGCGGCACATATTAGCTCACTATTTGTGTGATGAAAATAGCTACCCCAGGTAACACCACGGAGGTCAGTGTCCACAATTGAGATGAAAGAGGGACCAAGCTAAGCCTGGACTTCGCCCTGTTAAAGCCAATCAGAGCCGTTGCTTGGATCTATCATCCCCTACGCCACCCATGCATCATGCCTGGTCCAATATAATTTTCGGTGTGAAAGTCTATATTCACCCTGGCTGGATTGTAATTCGTAAATAAGTCAATTCATCCTGCAGTTATTCTCCCTTGCTGAATTGAAGTTTCAATATTATGTTATTATTCAACCTGGCCGCCCCATGGTGCGTATGTCGAACATTTCATTTTATGATGTGTTTGTGTGCATATTATTGCGTATACGCATCAATAAACCTAATATCATCTTGTTTTCAATATGCATGCATTTTCCTGCAGTTATGCAAACGTTTTATTGTATTGAGTGCGTTGTATTAGCATGTC